ATTTAGACCTTCACCTTACAACTACACTTCTCGTTATCCATCAGTACCTTAAAGCTTACTGAATTGTGATCACTGTTCCCAAGCTGCTTCCCGACTGAGATGTTGACCACCTGGCCAGGCTCATTCCCCAGTAGTAGGTCCAGTACAGCCCCTTTCCTGGTTGGACTATCTTCATACTGTTTCAAGAAATCCTCCAGGATGCTCCTTACAAACTCTGCCCCATCCGAGCCCCAAGCACTAAGTGAGACCTCGTCAGTATATGGGAAGTTAAAATCACCCACGACAACAACCTTGTTACTTTTACATCTTGCCAAAATCTGCCTACATATCCATTCTTCTGTCTCCTGCTGGCTGTTGGGAGGCCTATAGTAAACCCCAAACATTGTGATTGCACCCTTCCTGTTCCCGAGCTCTACCCATATTGCCTCGCGGTATGAGTCATCCGAGCCTCCCACAACACAGCTGTGATATTCTCCTTAACAAGTAGTGCAACTCCCCCACCCCTTTTACATCCCCCTCTATCCCGCCTGAAACATCTGTATCCTGGAACGTTAAGATGCTAATCCTGTCCCTCCCTTAACCAAGTCTCTGTAATAGCAACAACATCATAGTTCCAAGTACTAATCCAAGCTCTAAGTTCATCTGCCTTACCGGTTACACTTCTCGCATTGAAACAGATGCACTTCAGTGCACAGGACCTGCTTCGTTTCACAACCACACCCTGCCTGCTCTTCCTCTGAGTCTTACTGGCCCGATTCTCTTGTTCCCTTTCAGTCAATTCACCTTTGCACTGGTTCCCACTCCCCTGCCAAACTAGATTAAATCTTCCCGAGAGACACCAGCAAACCTCCCAGCCCGAATATTTGTGCCCCTCCAGTTTAAATGCAACCCGTCCTTCTTGTACAGGTCCCACCTGCCCTGGAACAGATCCCAGTGGTCCAGATATCTGAAACTCTCCCTCCTACACCATCTGTTTAGCCATGTCTTGAGCTGTACTATCCTCCTATTTCTAGCCTCAATGGCACTGGGCACAGGGAGTAATCCCGAGATTACAACCTTGAAGGTCCTGCTCGTTAACTTTCTACCTAACTCCCTGAACTGTTGCTGCAGGACCTCGTCACTCATCCAACCCATGTCGTTAGTACCAATATGTACCACAACCTCTGGCTGATCACCATCTCCCTTCAGAATGCTTTCTGCACTTTCAGAGACATCCTGGACCCTGGCACCAGGGAGGCAACACACCATCCTGGAGTCTCTTTTACGTCCACAGAAAAGTCTATCTGTACCCCAAACTATAGAGTCCCCTATAACTACTGCTCTGGTGCTCTTTGTCCTTCCCTTAAGAACAGAGCCGGCCATGGTGCCACTGTCTGGCCGCTGCTGCTGTTACCCCCATGATAGGTCATCCCCCCACCAAAAGTATCCAAAATGGTATAGTCGTTAGAGAGGGGGACAACCACAGGGAATTCCTGCACTGCCTGCCTGCCCCTTCGAGCGGTCACCCATCCGTCTGCCTGCACCTTCGGTCACCGCATCTCTAAAACTATTGTCTATGACGCTTTCCACCACCCTTGTGCTCCTAACTGCATTGGATTGCCGCTCCAACCGATCCATGCAGTCTGCGAGGAGCTGCAATTGGGTGGACTTCCTGCAGATGTTGTCATCTGAGACACTGGAAGTGTCACGGATCTCCCACATCTCACAAGTGCAACACTTAACCCCACTGACTGACATTTCTATCTCCAATTTAGCTGAAAATTTATTAAACACTTACCCTTACTTATTGCTGCAAATACTTGAGGTAGGTCTCACTCACCTTCCCAGGATGCTTTCTGAATCTCTTCCTTTCCCTTGCTTCTGGTCTACATTTGATAGTTTTTTGAGCTCATTATGATTTTTTTCAAGGGCATTTTGAATGTCTCTTTGCTTATTTGGAAGTTTTATGAGCCTTTTAGCGTTATTATATAGCTCATTGCTTCTGTACCTAGTGGGTGCTGAAAGATCAAGATGAAGAATGAATGGTAGGTTTGGAAGGTTTGTGGAGGTATGGAAACAGATATAGGGGTGTATGGAATGTTGAGAAGGGATATGTAAGGCTTTGTGTAGATTTGGGAGATGGCCAGTGGGTTAGAGGATGAGAGTGAGTGCTAGGGGCCCTAACAGCCATGAATAGAATGGACCAATGTTCCAGTACAGAGAGGCAGGGCTTCTAGACTCCCATGCTGCCTCAGGCCTGTTTTGAGAAGCAGAATCCCTAGTTCACCCTGCCTCCTCGAGAGGAAAATTCCCAATGAATAGGCTGATGTTCTGAAGTGGGTAACATGACTTTAGGAAATAGCCCAACCTGCAGGTGCCATTGCTGAGGGGATACAGAGGCTTTTTGTATCACCATGACTCTGCTTTGTGTGTGTGTTTCTCTATGTTTGTCTCACTCTCTCTTCTTCCCACACCCATCCTATTTTTTCTTTCTTTGGCCTTTGTTTACTCTCTGTCTCTCTCTTCTCTCTCTCTTGGTGTCTCCTTTCATGTCTCATTCTTTCTTTGTCTGTCTTTCTCTTTCACGCTCTCTCTCTCTTTCTTAGTCTCTCGGTTTCTCGCTCTCTGTGTCTCGCTCTCTCTCCCTCTCTGACTCCGTCTCTCCCTCTCTGTGTCTCTCCCTCCATGTCTCTCAGTCTCTCTCTCTCTCTCTTTTTCTCTCTCTCTCTCTCTTTTTCTCTCTCTCTCTCTGTCTCTCTCACTTGGTCTTTCTTTCTCTCTCTGTCGTTCAGTGTCTCTCCTGTGTGTGTGTCTCTCTCTATTTCTCTGTTCCTGACTCTCTCTCTCTCTCTCTGTCTGAGTCTTTCCCTCTCCCCCCTCTGTGCCTCTCTCTCTCTTTCTCTCTGTCTCTCAGTCTCGCTCCCTTTCTGTGCCTCTCACTCTTTCTCTCCCCCTGACTCTCAGTCCCTCTCTCTCTGTCCCGTCTCTCTCTTTTTCCCTCCCCCTGTCACTCTCTCTCTCTCTCTCTCTCTGTGTCTCTCTCTCTCATTCTCTCTCTCTTTCCCTCCCGCTGTCTCTGTCTCTCTAGCTGTAATTGGATCAGCTTAGAAAGACTGTCAGCGATATCTCTGTCGTTTCCAACCCTTTGTTACCCTGGAGCTTCCAGGTATGAGTCAGGATTTACCGACAGAAATACAGGAACTGGGACAGTTCATGTGACAAAACCTCCAGGAATCCATCCGATAACATTCCTGATTTTAGTGCAGGAGAGTTTAGTATGGACCTTAGTCCCCTGCTTTCTGGCAAATGAGTTGGAGCCAAGGTAGGGGTAAGGCACAAACATAGAGATGTACAGCACAGAAACAGACCCTTTGGTTCAACTCGTCCATGCTGACCAGATATCCTAAATTAATCTAGTCCCATTTACCAGCATTTGGCCCATATCCATCTAAACCCTTCCTATTCATATACCCATCCAGATGCCTTTTAAATGCTGTAATTGTACCAGCCTCCACCACTTCCTCTGGCAGCTCATTCCATACACGCACCACCTTCTGTGTGAAAAAGTTACCCCTTGGGTCCCTTTTTAATCTTTCCCCTCTCACCTTAAGCCTATGCCCTCTAGTTTTGGACTCCCCCACCCTGGGAAAAAGACCTTGTCTATTCACCCTATCCACGACTCTCATGGTTTTATAAACCTCTATAAGGTCACCCCTCTCAACCCCTGACGCTCCAGGGAAAATAGCTCCAGTCTATTCAGCCTCTCCCTATAGCTCAAACCCTCCAACCCTGGCACCATCCTTGTAAATCTTTTCTGAAATCTTTAAAGTTTCACAACATCCTTCCTACAGCAGGGAGATCAGGTTTGCATGCAATCTTCCAAAAGTGACTGAACCAATGTCCTGTACAGCTGCAACATGACCCTCCCAACTCCTATACTCGATGCACTGACCAATGAAGGCAAGCGTACCAAACATTGCTTTGTAAGTGATGACATGAGATTGTGTAATTATAACACATTGATCCAGCCAGCACTCAGTCTTACCCAATGGGCATTTCCCTGGCAGGTCTTGGCAAGTCTACCCACATGCAGCACTGTCTCATTGTTAGAAACTGAATAGTAGGCCCCTGAATACCAAATGCTGGTGCTCAGTGTGTTTTGTTAGTTGTACTGATGAGGTCAATGATACATGGGTGGAGGAGATTGATTGAGTATCTTGAGTACAAATAAAGAGAGACCATTAGAACACTGAGTGAGTAGCTCAGTGGCAGACACTGCATTCTGTGAATAAATTAACTATCAAGAAAGTGGTCCAGTTTCAAATTTCACCATCCACGTTGGGATCTGTTTAGTGCTTGACTATCTCCCTGGGGGCTGTCACTGAGTTTACAGTGGGCCCAACGTGAGCAAACTGGATCCTGGTCTAGGGCACTGGTCTGTTTGGCTTCATGTGTTATTTCTAGGTCTCTTTCTGTCTTTCCCTCTCTGTCCCTCTCTCTCTCTCTCTGTCTCTCAGTATCCCTCTCTCTCTTGGTCTCAATGTCTCTCACTGTCTTGGTCTCGATGTCTCTCTCTCTCTGTCTCTCTGTATCCTTCACTCGCTTGGTCTCATCTCTCTCTCTCTCTCTCTCTCGGTCTCTCTGACAGGTGATCAGTCAGAGGTGGGTTAGTGGAATTCACAGGGAAATGAGTCAGTGCCAATGATGTGCAATAGTGGCAAAGGCACAAAGGCCTTGCAGGTTGGGTGTCAAAATTACTGGAGCAATGGAAACTTGGCTTCAGAGAGGTTTAATTGAGCGAGCAGCAGAGAGAAATAGCAAAAAGTGGACAGTCCTAGAGACTCAATAAGGATTTGGATAATTGAAGGACAAAGCCCTTGAGCACCTCCAAGTAGTCACCTATAGGGGAGCGACAGGACAGGGGTGTAACTCCACTCCAGTGAGGATGATGAGTGATAGGGGCAGGGAGGGGAGCAAGAGCAAATTGGATTCTAACATTGGCCCCTCTCATTCTGTCCCAGACAGGAATCCTCACGAGAAGCACCATGTCATCGGAACAGGGGGAGATGTCACCCTCACAGCCACCTCAGTCCCTCAAATCGTCAGTGTCCCCGCCTCTATCATATCTCCGTGACAATATCAAAACATGGGAACGGAACAGCTCTCTCCTGGTGGATCTGCCCAGTCCCCTCCCTACCAAACGCACCCGCACCTACTCTGCGTAAGTACTCCCAGTGCACAGCGAGAGGCTTTTACTGATGACCCTTCTCTATCATTGATCAATAGGTGTGCTTCACTTTGGAGTAACACTTTATTAAATGGATGTTAAATACTTTGTATGCTTAAAATAATGCACATAACAGGGGCCTTTCAATGTGTTACAGTTCTGTAGAGATAGTTTTCAGTATCTTGGCCCTTTACAAATCCAAATCCTCATTGCAATCTGCAACAGTTATCATGAGACCATTAAACCATCAGATATAGGAGCAGAAGTAGGCCATTCAACCCATCGAGTCTGCTCCACTGTTCAATGAGATCTTGACAGATCTGATAATAGAGTCATGGAGTTGTACAGCACAGAAACTGACCCTTTGGTTCAACTTGTCCATGCCAACCAGATATCCTAAATTAATCTAGTCCCGTTTGCCAGCATTTGGCCCATATCCTAACCCTTCCTATTCATGTACCCATCCAGATGCCTTTTAAATGTTGTATTTGTACCAGCCTCCACCATTTCCTCTGGCAGCTCATTCCATACACGCACCACCCTCTGTGTGAAAACGTTGCCCCTTAGGTCCCTTCTATATCTTTCCCCTCTCACCTTAAACCTATGCCACCTCAACTCCACTTTCCTGCTTCTCCTGCATAACCTTGATTCCCTTACTGATTAAAATTCTGCCTATCTCAGTCCAGAATGACCCTACTTAATGACCCAGTCTCGACAGCCCTCTGTGGTAAAGAATTCCACAGATTCACTCCCCTCTGGGCGAAGAAATTCCTCCTTATCTCTGTCTTAAATGGGTGACCTCTTATTGTGAGATTATGCCCTCTGGACCCAGACTTTCCCACATGAGGACACAACCTCCCCATTATCTATCCTGTTGAATCCCCTAAGAATCTTGTATGTTTCAATGAGGTCACCTCTCATTCTTCTAAACTCCAATGTGTTCGGGCCCAATCTACTCAAACTCTCCTCACAAGTCAGACACTCCATAGCAGGGATCAGCCTGGTGAGCCTTCCCTGGACTGCCTCCAGTTCCAGTAAGTCTTTCCTTAGATAATCTGGGATTAAGAATCTAATGATGACCATGAAACTGTTGCCGATTGTCAGAAAAAACCATCTGGTTCGCTAATGTCCTTTAGAGAAAGTTATCTGCCGTCCTCAACCGCCCTGGCCTACATTTGACTCCAGACCCACAGCAATGTGGTTGACTTTCAACTGCCTTCTGACCAATTAGAAATGGGCAATAAATTACCGGCTAGATTTGATTGCTAGCTTTTTGTGACTCATGGACGAGACTCCCAAATCCCTCGTTTCTGTAGCTTTCTGCAGTCTTTCTCCATTTAAAAATATTCAGCTCCTCTTTTCTTGCTGCCAAAGTGAATCTCGTTTTCCCACGTTGTATTCTATCTGCCAATTTCTTTTGCCCATTCACTTAACTTGTCTATATCACTCTGCAGACTCTTCTGTATTCATCTCACACCGGCCACAACCTACTTCACAGTGTCTGACAAAATATTAACGTACAATTTCATACAAGGAGAACTTATTTCAACTTGTCCCTTCTCTAGCTGTAGTCGCAAACATTCTTAATTTTAAGCTGTTTTTCCTGTTGGGCTAATGAGATCAGTGCAAGTGTAGCATTGTTGTATTTATTTAAAGCTGAAAGAAAATACAATTCTGAGACAGTTATTGTCAAACGTACAGTAACAAGCCAAAGAGACAATGGAGGAGTACTGCACATGCCAGCAGCCAAAAGTAACGTTGAACAGGTAGAAAAGAAACTAAAAGATACCAGTCATTAAGGGGTGTCTCTCTAGTCAGCAACACTGCAATGTAATGAAGGTGAAAATCTAACAGCTCTGTCGGGGAATGCAGGGTCATTACCTGGATCCTGAGCCATTTGAAAGGAGAGGTTTACCAAAAGCGATGTTGCTGCTTTAAAAAAAATTAACTGTTCATGTGCTAGGAAACCTGGCTTGGAGCCTCAATGTGGCAAAATAGTATTTCCACTGGAATGGTGTTTACTCACTGCAGGGTCAGACCATGGAGCACCTCGCCATTAATCGTACATCGCGTGACTCAGTCAGAACCCCTCACTCACCAAAGAACCCCTCAGTAACCCCTCAGTTTACCATGTCCCCTAATATTCTCCACCCATTCCATTCTTCCTCATACCTCATTAGGACCCTCATGCACCCCCATGTATCCTTCATATCCCCCATGTATCCTTCATATCCCCCATGTCTCCTCCATATCCCCCATGTATCCTCCACATCCCCCATGTATCCTCCATATCCCCCATGTATCCTCCATATCCCCCATGTATCCTCATATCCTTCATATCCCCCATGTATCCTTCATATCCCTATGAGTCCTCCATATCTGCCACAGTCCTCCATATCCGCTATGAGTCCTCCGTATCCCCCCTATATCTGCCATATCCCCCATGTATCCTCCATACCCGCCATATATCCTCATATCCACCATGTATCCTCACATGCCCTACGTATCTTCCATATCCCCCATGTATCCTTCATATCCCCAATGTATCTTCCATATCCGCCATGATTCCTCCATATCCACCATGATTCCTCCATATTCGCCATGAGTCCTCCATATCCACCACAGTCATCCATATTCGCTATGAGTCCTCCATATCCGCCACAGTCCTCCATATCTGCCATGAGTCCACCATATCCCCATGTATTCTCCATAAGACCATAGGAACAGGAGTAAGCCATCAGCCCCTTGAGCCTGCTCCACCAATCAAAAGGATCATGACTGCTCTGACATTCCTTGTGTCTAATCCTGCCCTTTCCCTGTTGCCCTTAATTTTCCGAATGATCAAGAATCTATCTCTCTCAGCATTAAATATGCACAAAGAACTCTGCCCCCACAGCTCTTTGTGGCAAGGAGTTCCAGAGACTCTCAACCCTCTGAGGAAGAAATTCCTCCTCATCTCAGTCTTAAATTGGCGCCCCCTTATCCTGAGACTATGCTGCCTGGTTCTAGACTCTCCAATGAGGGGAAAAGTCCTCTCAGCATTGACCCTGTCAAGCTTCTTAAGAACCCTATATATTTCAATGAGGTCACCTCTCATTCTTCTAAACTCCAGTGAGTAGAGTCCCAACCTGTTAAGCTTTTGTTCCTAAGGCAATGCCTCCAGACTGGGGATCATCCTAGTGAACCTTCTCTGAACTGCCTCCAATGAAATTATACCTTTACTTAATTAAGGGGAACAAAACTGCTCACTGTACTCCAGATGTGGTTTCTCCAGCACCATGTACAGTTGCAGTAAGACTTCCTGACTCCTTATTTCGAGAGGGTTGGAGTATAAGGGCCAACATTCCCTTACCCTTCCTGATTACCTGCTAGCTTTCTGAGTTTCATGCACAAGTCCCCCCCAAGTCCTTTTGTGTTGCAGCTTTCTGCACTTTCTCTGCATTTAAATAAATTTATATTCTTTTGTCTCTCTTCTGAAATGAATAACTTTGTATTTTCCCACATTATACCCCATTTGCCAATTTCTTGCCCACTTACTTAACCTACCAATCTCTCTCTTTAAACTGTTTGTATCCCTCTCACAACCTGCCTTTCTACATATTTTTGTGTCATCTGCACATTTGGCTACAATACATTTGCTTCCTTCCTTCAAGACATTGAAAATATATTGTAAACGGTCCCAGCACTGATCGCTGTGGAACCCCACTGGGTAACAGGTTGCCAATCTGAAACAGAACCCTTCACCCCACTCACGGTTTCCTGCCCCAGTAGCTATTTCTCTATCCATGCCAATTTCCTATCTCCAACACCATGGGCCCTTATCTTATGACTTAACCTTTTGTGAGGTATCTTGTCAAATGCCTTCTGAAACTTCAAATACAACACATCTACGGGTTCCCCTCTATCCATTCTGGTTGAGTCTTCCTTGAAAAACTCTAATAAATTAATCAGACATGAACTCCCTTTCATGAAGCCATGGTGACTCAGCTCGATTGGATGATACTTTTCTAAATGTTCTGCTATTTCTTCCTTTATAATTGATTCCAATACTTTTCCAACAGTCAGCCTATATTACCTGCTTTTTGCCTCCCTTCATTTTTGAGTAATGGTGTTATATTAACAGTTTTGTAATCCATTAGAACTTCTCCGAAATCAAAGGGTTTTTGAAATATTACAACCAAAAAGTTCCCTATCTCCGTAGCTACTTCTTTTAGGATCCTAGGATGCAAACCATGAGCACCAGGGAACTTATCTGCCTTTAGCCCCATTCATTTGTCTAATCCTACTTCTCTAGTGATGGTGATGATACTTAATTCCTCCCCCATACTCTTTAGTATCAGTGGGATGTTTGAAGTATATTCCACTGTAAAGACTGCTGCAAAATGTTTGTTTAACTCCTCTGCCATTTCCTTATTCCCCAAAACCATCTCCCCAGATATATTTTCTAAAGAGCCTATGTTCACTTTGACCTCTCTCTTCCTTCTTAGCTTTTTAAAGAAGCTGTTATTGTCAGTTTTTATGTTCCACACTAGTTTGCCCTGAGTTTAGTTTCTGTATCTTTATTATCTTTTAGTCCCCTTTTGCTGGATTCTGAATTTATCCCAGTCTTTAGAATCATGGAATCCCTACAGTGTGGAAGCAGACCATTCAGCCCTTCATGTCCACACCGACCCTCAGAAGAGCATTCCCACCCCACCATATCCCTGTAACCCTGCATTTCCCATGGCTAACCCCACTAGCCTGCACATCCCTGCACACTATGGGCAATTTAGCCTGGCCAATCCACCTAACCTGCACATCTTTGGGGCTATCACTAACTTTTGCCTCCTTACATGTTTTATCTTTCAACTTGATACTCTTAACTTTCTTGGATAGCCATGCTTGGTTTATCCTGTCTTAGAATTTTCTTCCTTGCCAGAAGTTATTTTTGCTGGGAATCATGAACTATCTCCTCAAGTGTGTACCACTTCTTTCTTACTGCCATTCCCAAGGCC